TTTCAGTTATTTATACCAACAACTTAAATGTTTATTGTATATTTAATATTTTATTATATTTTACTGAACCAACTCGACGCTGCATGAAAGCCACGAAAATCTGTGGGGCTGTCAGGTCAAGTTTTTGATGGCTCAAGGCTTAACTTTGGTTAAGTCGTCAAATAAAATGACTATCAGAAAGTAGAAAGCATTTTAATCGATGCTTCAACGGAATTTAAGCCATGAAAGTCAATGTTTGGGGCTCTTGAACTTTCATGGCTGAAATTCAATTGAGGTGTTGAAGAAAATGACTTGGAAAAACAAGTCTTAAAAAAAATGTTATTTTCTTACAGTCTCCATGATGAACCAGTCAACAAACTCCACTGGTGTCCTCTTTTTCGGTGGTTACTTGCTCAGTTTCGTATAGTGAGAGTTTCTCCTCTATCGTCTCAGAGTGAAATGATCAATTTGAGAAGTGTCTTGTATTTATACAGTTTTGGTCGGACTCCATGGCTACCAGCTTCATACGTCATCACTCACAGACCACTGCTAACTACATTCCTATTGACATTTAAAAAAAAAAAACAAAAAAAAAAAAACAATTTTTCAAAAACAACATCTGTGTTTATGTTTAAAATGCAGTAACGTTAGCTAAGTTAGCTGGCAAAGTTGTTAGCTGCAGCTAGCTCGGTTGTTTTGTGGTTAGCCGCCATGTTTCAATTAGGCCTTAACATAACTGTAAATATGTTTCAGAGACACCGGACCTATGTCACCTGCTTAGTGAACACATTTAATTTAAACGGCGTGTTACATGAGTGTCAGCTAGCTAATAACACCTGGTCAAACTGAGTCAAAGGAGGCCAAACTGCGATATTTGTAAACAGAATAACGTTAACTTACATAAAGCATGTTTACCTGGTACTGCATGAAAGTCAACTTTCGCTGCCTCAAGGCTTATATTTCGTGAAGTCGTCAAATAAAATTACTTGAAAATCTATTTTTATTGCACACTTCGTTTGAAAGTCAGCTTTTGGGGCTCTGGAGCTTTCTCAAAGCTGAAATTCAGTTGAGGCTTAAAAAATGACTTGAAGTAACAATTTTCAGTAAAGCCTCAACTGAGTTTAAGCCACTAAAGTCTGTTGGGCTGTCAGGTCAAGTTTTCGACGGCTCAGGGCTTAAATTTGGTTAAATCGTCAAATAAAATGACTATTATAAAGGTAAAAGTATTTTAATCGACGCTTCAACTGAATTTAAGCCATGAAAGTCAGTTTTTGAGGCTCTCGAAGTTTCTAATGGCTGAAATTCAGTTGAGGCGTTGAAGAAAATGACCTAAACAAAAGCATTTTTAAAAACAGTTAAATATTCTTACAGTCTCCATGATGATTCAGAAAACTAGCTCCACTGGTGTCTTCTTTTTGGTGGTCACTTGCTCAGTTTTGTATATGTCGTCGAGTGAATGTTTCTCCTTTAAATTCTCAGAGTGAAATGATGAATTTGAGAAGTGTCTTGTATTTATACAGTTTTGGTCGGACTCCATGGCAACCAGCTTCATACGTCATCACTAAAAGGACACTGCTTAGTGAACACATTCAATTTAAACGGTGTGTTATACGACTGTCGGCTAGCATACTTTATATCACTACTGTAATAACATCTGGTCAAACTGAGTCAATGGAGGTCAAACTTCCATATTTGTAAACAGAATATATAAAGCAGGTTTACCTGGTAGCTGTTTCAGTGCAGCACATCTTTTACCTTTATCTTTACTTTGGTGTTGGATAGTAGAGCTCAGGAAACACAAGATAACCAGCTGTTGCTCCATGAAACATCTGGATAAAGCTGTAGAGCCGTTAGATGAGCTCGAGCTCTCATCATCACGTGACAGGTGCAGCGATGCTATTCAGTGTGGCCTCAACAGTAAATACATGTAATACAGATCAGTGACTGTGGTAACTGTATAGTTGAGATGCTGTAATGGTAACTTTCAAAAGTCTCAGGTTCACTGTAACAAATAATCAACCGGAGTATTTGTCTCAAGTTTAGACAAAATATTGATTCTTTTTCTTTTCTTTTTTTGGGAGTGGGAGATTTGATATTTGATAGATATCTCATGAGATTATAAGGGGCAGTGGGCCCTGCATTATTGTGTTTGTTTGTTTGTGTACCCTTATCTGATTCTTTGCACAGTGATAAACGAATATGGATCATCACAGCCTCATTGGAGGTTTTTTGTTTCATGGTACTGTCACTGCACTTGATAATGCTCTTAATGTGCCTTTCTGTGAGATACTTTTGTTGCTGTTCATTCCCACAGTAATGTCACAAATGTATCCTCCACATTCTGTTGTGCTATACTGAAGCTGAACAATACTGTATTACTTGTTCAACAGAGAGATGACCAGAAAATACACTCCCTTGTTTTAGTAGGCATTAGTAGTCTACACTGATACACTTGGATGCTGTCTTGCTCTAAAGGAAGCAACTACCTCAGATCTGGTGACCAATCACTGCTCTCTGTTCCACGTAAACAGATAAAAACTAAAGGTGAGGGAGCATTTATTTGTTATTGGTCCTAAACTGTGAAATAGTCTCCCACTTACAGTTGGATCTTCCCCCTTCATTCATGCATTTAAAACCCATCCTGCTCATCCAAAACTCTGCTGCCAGAATCTTGACACGGACTAGAAACACGACTACATCACACCAATCCTATCTTACCCACACTGGTTATCTGTTAATTTTAGAAGTGATTTTAAGATTTTATTGATTACTTACAAAGCTCTGGGAGGCCTTGCTCCAAGTTATATATCAGATCTATTATTGTCTTATGTTCCCTCTCCCCGAGATCCTCAGATGGATCTTTGCTTGTTGCTCCGAGGTCTAGATTAATCCACAAAGGTGACAGAGCCTTTGCAGTCAGAGCTCCACAACTTTGAAATGACCTGCCTGAGGAAATCAGGACTGCAAACTCAATTTTATCCTTTAAATCACTTCTGAAAACCTACTTGTTTAAAACTGGCTTTTGGTGATTTTAACTGCTTTATCATTGTGTGTTTTACTGTGTTATGCATACTCTGTCTTTATTGCTTTTATCTTGTTTTATTTGCTTTGTCTTTTATTCACTTTTGTAAAGCACTTTGTAACTGTGTATTGAAAGGTGCTATATAAATAAAGTTTTTAATTAATAGTAGTAGTAGTAGTAGTAGTAGTAGTAAATAAATGCAGTGGAGTAGAAAGTACAATATTTGACTCTGAAATACAATGGGGTACAAGTATAAAGTAGCAGAACATGTGAATGCTCGAGTACAGCACAAGTACCTTAAAACTGTGCTTAAGTACAGTGCTTGAGTAAAGGTACTTAGTAACTATCCACCAGTGTTTGTGACCCCTTAAAACAGATCAGTTTCTGCATGAGACCCCTCATCACAGGTTATGGCCTCATTGTGGTCATGAGCTGTGAGCAGTTAGACAACGTTTTCCTTCTTGGATTGTGTCATTTAAAGGATTTTAAAGGCTTGAAGAGATGTTAGAAGCCCGTATTACACTAGGGAGAAATAAGTACAAAAGTCAGAAAATAGAAGAGGTGGGACCAAGTCAAAATTTTGCAAGTCACAAGTACTGTAAGTCTCATGTCTTTGCACTCAAATTCGAAGTCCTTATTTTAACAACAAAGTAATAATACATTAAATTTACAAAAATCAGGAGTGATTTTTTTCATTTGTATTAATTTATTAATACAAGTGCAACTGAACTTGATCATAAAAAAGTAGTGGTGACATTGCACTTATAGCATATAGCACTATTAACCAGTACCACAACAGAATGAATTTCGTATGTGTCCTTACTGTCTTGTTGTATTTAACTTATCTCATATTGGGAAAAGTTCCATAACGTCTATTCCAAGATTTACTTGGGGAAAAGTATCAAGCATCTTCAAGCCAAAAGGCAGTCCAGGTGTATTAATATCATTGGTTGTAACGACCAAGGCGAGTTGCAAGTCTTTTTTTTACTTTGTCAAATCGAGTCCACACCTCTGGAAAATAGATATATATTTTCCTTTTTATCCCTTAAACCATATTGTGATCCCTCAGATTCACCCTGGGACCATTTGGTGGGCCCAACTCCCTGGTTGGGAACCATTGCTTTAGGATAAGTTGTAACATGACACATTCCTATAGACACTTTAGGTATGTAAGAATCAGCAAAGTGGAAGATGACTTAAATTTACAATATTTATTGATAAGTTATTCAAGTACAGTGAGCATCATATGTACATAAGACTACAGTATCTCATTTGGAGTGATGAAATAAAAAACAAACCTGATCATCTCTTATTATTACCTTTTAGAAAGGTACCTTCGTTACATTCCATGTCTTTATTACAAATTTACAATTGTGAATTGAAAATGTGCACAGTAACATGACCAAACAACACATACGGAAACTGATATTTACAGTTTTCTTTTTCTCTATAGGTCTCTGCCATCCTCACCCTACTTCTCAAATTGCATGACAGAAATCTTTAACAAAAAAAAACAAAAACAAAAAAAAAAAAAACAGAGGGAATGGATTTTCCTTAGTTGGACCCCCAAGTGATCCATATTGAGTTTAAGCACAAGTACAAACACACATGATGAGGAGGGGGACCCGTGTAAACAATAGAGCTGTGAGTTTATGTCCACACAGACAGACAGACAGACAGACAGACAGACACTGGGATGTGCATTATGGACTCTACTTCTAATCTAAAGTGTTTCAGTGCTTTTCAACATTTTTTACTTCATTTGGAAAAAGGAAAAAAATACAAAAAGGAGCAATATAAAAGCAATAATTTCTTATATAAAAATGTACACAAAATTCCACTGCATTGCCAACTGGAAATAATTTCAAGCCCTACTCCTATTCCTGCCCCCCCCCCCCCCCCCCCCCCCCCCCCCCCCCCCCCCCCCCCCCCCCCCCCCCCCCCCCCCCCCCCCCCCCCCCCCCCCCCCCCCCCCCCCCCCCCCCCCCCCCCCCTCTCTGGCACGTCCTTTATATTTTCTTCTCTTCATAGCCGCCTGTCTCACCCCTCAGTTAGCTATGACCGTAGGGTTCGTATTAACAATCACTTGGACGACAAAGTCCTTCTGGATCTTGGCGTCTTGAAGACGAGTCTTGTCAGTCAGGAGCTTCCCGGAAAAGAACCACCTCTGGCGAGTCACGTCAATTTCCTCCTGTTCTTCCAATTGTTTCTTTAGCTCGGCGATGGAGTCCGCCATGCTGGCTGTCAGACGCACATCCTTTCCTAAGAATACCACAAGGCAAGAATAGAGTTGACACAGATTTCTGAGCAAGCTGTGAGACACTGAAAAGCTATGAATTATAGATCAGTCTCAAGCTGAGATGAGACAAGATGCAATGAAGTGTTGTGTGCATGCAATCTGTAGAACATGTACTTTTGTAGATTTAAATGTCATATTATAAATATACATATTATAGGTTACACTGGATGTTTCTTACCTGTTGACAATCGTACCCGCAGCTGGAACTCTTGTCTGCATGGAGGAGGTTGAGCTTGTTTTTGTGTGGAGTCAGAGACTTTGCTCTCAGAGGACGTTTCAGAGATGAGGTTGACAGGTGGGGCTAAAGTGTAAGCTGGGAGCTGGTAGCGGTTGCCCAGTTCATCATAACTCTCTGTGAGGGAGCCTGCAGAGGGAAAAATGGACTGCATAAACAACTGATTTCCAAAAACCCTCTTGTCAGTAACAGCAGCTAACTTTATCCCTGACATATAAACCTTTTCTCTCGTCAGATAATCCAGGGGAAGCATGATGACATTAACATCAACAACGCCATTGTCCTTGAACTAGCAAAACTCTTTTGTGTCAGTAGATAAATATGCAAGAACAGTGTGTGTTTTTTTCCACCTAACTCTCCCATGGCTTTCTGTACACCAATCCATTCACAGTGGTCACGCAGCACTGCGACTATTATGTAACTATTACAGCAGTAATCTCTGAACAACTGATGCATGGGATTCTGCAAACTGTCCTTTGACATTTAGAGAATTATTACAGTGAGTTTATGCATTTGTGCTGAAAGTTCCTGGGTATTTGAAGCTTACAATTGATAGCTGGATGAAGCACATATCTCCATATCTGAGAGGGCATGTGTGTGAGTGTGTGTGTGAGTGTTCATGTGCCTGTGGGTGGTTTCATACCTTGTGGCAGGGTGATGCAGGCTCCATCCACTATAGCCTGCGCTAGCTCCAGGTCATTGCACTCCGCAGCCAGGGCTGCTGCTCTGAGTGCGTCCCAGATCTCTTTCCGTCCATCAAAGGCAGGAGCTGTGTCCCAAAACTCATCCCTCTTACTCCTCAACTGGCCCTCCGTCATCGGGTACTCGCTCTTCCACTTTGGACGCTCCTTCTTCAGGGGCTCATTGCGTCCTGAAAGTAAAAAAGAAGGGAGTGTTCAGTCTGATCAAAAGACCTATCTGATGTCATAGGATCAGGGCTACACTCTGCTGGACAGTCATGAAAACAACTTTGCACCTAATGATAGAATGGCCGCAGCTAAAACAGTTAATGTCCAAGGGATTATAGAGCAGTAAAACCAAGTATCTGGTAGTGAAGCTCTGAGAAACCTGCTGTTGATGGTTGCCAGGTTGGCTCAGGTCACAGCTGCTGTAAAATGGCTGAGCTGTTACCATTTACTCTCAGATACAAGTGAGTGTCAAGAAATAATTTCCCATTATAATTCCCATTTTCCCCATTATAAGAAACATTATAGACGCTAAAAGCTTCAAATGTAATACAGCTTTATTGTGTTGTGTACATTTGGTTATATAAACACCAGTGAGGTCAGACATGGACAAAAAGGCTCATCTTAGGACTCCCATACTGACGGATCTTCAGTATTTAGCAAAAACAGCCCTTGAAAATACACAATTGCATCTGTGATATTCATTTGCAATATAGGCTAAGTACTGTTATGCATGCAACTGCCCTTTGTCACAACTCAAACAACATACAAACCAAGTAGCTTCATACACCCACTGCAGGTGTCTCCATGCCTGTATATAGCATGTTAGATATACAGCACCAGCATACAGAGAAGGACCATTTGATTCACAGAGGGAGACAAATCAAAGTGATTATTTATAGTGCTGTGGATTACTGCAGTGGCAAGTAACACATACATGTGCACTGACAAGCAGTCACATACACAAGCACACACCAGTGGATTATGGGCAGTAATCAGGTTCCACATAATAGGATTTATCTGCCCCTATCCCATGAGGCATTGGTTGGAGAGATGAGCACTCTTTGACCAATGAGAGCAAGCAGAAACGCTCAGGCACTATTACGAGCCCAAAACAACAAGCACATGGAAGTATAAACACGTAGCATCTGCAAATTAATTATGACATCATCACTGCTACAATGTCACTCCCATCAAGCAAATGTCAATGCAGGCCTCCATATGATGATAAATGTGACAGCACGGCCTATAGAGATGAGACGATGGCTTGAGTTTCAGATTAATATGAGGTGTATTCCTTGCATGCCTACATGCATGTACACATATCATCATTTACATTTTATGAATGAGTAATAAAAGGGTGAGTTTTAAAATCAAATTAACTATTTCTCTGTTTCAGAGCCATAATTACAATATAGCAGAAGTCCAGTGTCTGTGACATTATTATGTTACTGATATGCTATAACTTTTTACCTATGCTGCATTAACATGGGTTTTTAGCCATCGTGTTTGCTTTTGTGATTGAGCACAGGCAGCTGCAAAGTTGCAAAGGAGTCCATTAACATGCCAGCCAAACCAATGCAAATATTATTTGTGTCTGGACTCCTAACAAGCAACCTGACTGCCAGAAGCTGGAAGGTACGCTGAGATAATTGCAAGTTGCTCTGACCTCTTGTTTGATGAACACTGACTTCAAGAAGTTTGCGCCTAACAGCTAGAGAAACACAGCTGTCGAGAAATATGAGGATGAAAACCACTCCTAGTTTTTAGTTCAGAGAGTTCATGTGGGACATTTTTAAGTTTTAAAGCTTGTATTTGTAACATTACATAACTGGAGGAACTGTTTTGATTTGGGTTTTGTGCTTACTAGAATGAGGCAGATGCAACCAGTGATGACAACCTGCATTATTTGAAGAATGTTTTACCCACCTCCCTGCTGTAGTAAGTCAGTGGCCTAGTGTTTGTGTACAGTGGAGTGTGCGTGTTCACAGAGTGCAGCTTTGCCAGTGTGTCCTCAGATGTATCCCTCACTACCTGGAATCTAAGCTTAGGCAAGTTTTTTTTTTTTCCACAGGCATAAACATGTCTGATGGACGGAGGAACTACCAATTAAAATCCACTAAAACAGGAAATGATTAAGTTTCTGATATGTGAATTGAAGTGTTACTTTTGGAATATTATCATTGCTGCTCCATTTAAGTACCATTACTACTACTTGTTGTAATAGTTGTAGTATTTCAGCATGGTGCATACAAACAGCAGAAATGGATGGAAGGACATGAATGCCTGTCATACTGGAACATTAACTCAGAAACATCAGCACTGCAACTCTGAGTTAAATCAGCCTCACATCTCCATCAAAGTGACATCCGTGTTCCTCCCCATAAGCACATGCATTTCAGTTAGAGGTAGCAATGTGGATTTTCTCAATCATTTTGTTACGACCTCTTTCTGTTGTTTGTTTTCTCTGTAGTCAATTGTTCTATTTCCATTTACAGCATACAATGTTTGTTGCCCTAAAAGCCTTCATACATTAACAACAGCATCAACAGTGCAGACTATCTCTGAGACTAATTATGGCACAACACAGTCAGCGGTGCAAAAACCAAAATCATGTCAGAATCTCTTTCATCCCACACCCAAAACCAATACTTACTTTTCAGCAAGATCCTCAAGGGTGTGTTTGGGCCATGATAGTAGGTGTACTCCCTTGAGTTTGGTACTCCCATAGCTGCTCTTACTCTGAGGTTTGATGTGAGTCAGTTAAAAGTCTGCATTAATGACCTACAGACACCAACCCTGAAGAAGAGGACAGTCCAGTCGTGTCCAACCAGCTTGCTTCAACACACCGCCCAACTGTCGATACAATCACCTGATCTAGTTTGCCGCGATGTGCAGACTGAGATTCGGAGCTCAGTGAACCATCGTAACACTTCCCCAGTTGCTTAAAAATGACAACACTCCCTCCACTTATATCCCTTCTGACTGAAAATACCTCGCAAACCCAAAATACCACAGGATCAGTTCATGGAATGAGGTTCAAAATGAGGAGAGAGTAAACTCAGTGTCCTAGGTAGAAGGTGGCTTCTTTACACAAGAGGCCTAATCCTATCAGCTCTATTTAGAGGCAGGATAGAAATACTCAAAGGCAACATGCTAAACCTATTAGCAGACAATAAACCCTTGTCAGACTATTACAGTCTGAAGGAGAAGCTACTTCTGCGAACTACCCACAACAGGTGATTGTTTCCTGCGAGACGACTCTGCTATTTATACGAATAAAAACAAACCTGCCTCTCAGATGCTGATCAACAAATAGTTATCTAACAATCGTAGGAGGTCTGCGCCTGTGACATGTGAGGTGATGCATGTCTGGCTAGCAGGTAAATGATTTCTTTTTGCATGTAAATATGTTTTGCAGCAGGTCCACATGAGGCAAATCATGCACCAAGTAGGTCAAACTTTGACATGAAAACTCTCTGTGCAGGCCACCGCTGCTGCTGCTGGTGGTATTGCTGCCGCTCCATACATAATGCATGACAATCCAGCTGAGTGCACAGCCGCTTTTTCCACAAGGAGTGGATTGCCCGGTGTTTACATAAAACACTGTCGTATCAGGGCAGGTCCTCTGCACAGATTAGACACATGACGAGCCGGCCTGAAACATTTAACACCTGAGACAGTAAGCTGTCAGACTGAGAAAGACGCCAGTGCAACACGGGTGTAGCAAAGCATCCTGCCCCAGCCTGCATGTTAACATAGGTGCATGAATTGTTAAGGCTTCTTCTCATGAAAACTGCTGCTCTGTGCTGGTTCTGATAATGTGTCCTTATATAAGTATGTGTCAGAGGATGTGTGCACACTCACCACAGAAGCAATTTCTAACATTATAGTAGGCTAATAGGCCTTTAAAAATATTAGTAGGCTCTCTTAAACTCATATTGTCCACCTCATTTGATTTGTAACACCTAACAAATTAACCTGTCTTATTCCCAGTGTGTGGTTTAAGGGCATCATCTCTTGTATCTAATTCACATTTTGTGCAGCAAAGCATTCACAAAAACATGTCCTTATTTCATAAACCTAGAGGCTGCAGCTCAATCCAGCTCCTTACCTCCACGTTTTTTGATCCTTGTCGAGCTTCGGGCACTCCCTTGTCCATCCATCCTACTCCTCCCCACACAGCCTCCCATCACTGTCCCTACAAGCCACACCAAGGAGAAAAATCATCAGTCTGTCTATTAATGCTTTAAAATGCACGTGCGATCATGTCGGATACATAAACATAATATAAAGATGATGGTAAATTAGGTGCCTTATGTGAAAAGCATCATCAGGGAATAATGACAGCTCAGCACTCCTTGTTCCTGTGAGGTCAGACAAGCTGCGATGTTTACGTCACGTGTACTGCCAGCTGACGGGGGCACGCGCCTGAACCTCATGCCGCTCTGATTTTCCAGTCAAATATTTAAAAAATGTGTTCATGCATGATTACAATTTATAGTATATGTTTATAATTTAAAAGATGTATGCTACTTCCGATTGGATTTAGCAGTCTTATCAGTCACAGGCCGTTTAATATATTAGGCTAGTATTAACAAACAATTTATTTTGCCTACCGGAAATCCAGTCTGCTAAATTATGCATCCGTCTGCAGTTTGCTTGCCACATCCGAACTTGCTTCCAAGTGAAGTTATCACCGTGACGCGACGATCAGCAGGAGATGCGAGTCAGCAGGTTGACAAACTGGGAGCAGTGTGTGTGTGTGTGTGTGTGTGTGTGTGTGTGTGTGTGTGTGCGCGCAGAGCTGGCGGGCTGGTGACCAGTCTGGACCTGCAGAGCCTCCAGCAAATGTGAACAGCTTCTCCAAAAAATAATAATAAAAATAAATGCAATCAACATCCGTTTCCCCCACGAATCATAATGAATGCAGCTCACCCGCACAATCTCTTTGCACCGTTGCACTGATCTAGAATTAAATCCCTATCAGGCTGCACGCATGCGCAGATTGGACCAACTCTTCACCTCTGCGTCAAGATAATCAGAGTAAAAGCGGAAACTGAGAAATGACCCCTCCAGAATAATGGAAGAATTGGAAATAATTAACAATTTAATTCGCAAATAAGCAGAATTTTGAAATAACAAAAACATTCATGACTATAAACTTGGTGATGAAACAAAAATATCAAAAAATATTCGGGCTTACTGTGAAATAGACGCTTGTAACCCCTGTAATAAGGATTTTAGTCTGAAATGCAAGGCGGAAGTAATTTTATTATTGTTATATTAGTGTTTATTGACGTTTCTCCACTGGCAGGGAACATTGCACTGGCCTTATTTCAATAAAATCTCGTATCTGCCCTAAAACGCGCACACCTCTTTTAATGATATAACAAAACAATTAAGTAACCAAGAATCGTTGTTGGTGTTTCCTCCAAAAACTCACTTCTATAAGGTTATTGCTTAGCTACTAACAGTTTATTTAAAATAAAACTGCGTGAAACCAGTCTGATACAAAACCACCAATATGTCGTTTCAAGTAAATTACTCTTGTATGCAGCCTGAATAAAGTCAACTATCAAGTTTAAATCTATATTGGATTATGTTGTATCTCAGGCTGGGAGCAAGTTAATCCTATCCAATTTAAAACTGGCACAAAAATTGAGTTAACTCTATCATCTTATCTATTAACAGGTGTAGATGTACAGTATATGCAGGTAAGGGTAAGGTGTGGTGGAATACTCTGTTATTGCTCATGAAGCCAAGCATCCAAATCTTCCTGGGATGATGTAAGTATGTGCTCTTGATAGAAAATGAGCCAACTGAATGTGCTCAACTTCATCCTGGCTTTCATGAAAACACTACATGTCTTGAGAGTATGTGTAGTGTTGTAACCATCTGGGAACAAGAGTACATAAAGACAATGTGGTGTATTTGCACCATACAGACAAGGGCATACTGTGACGCAAGGCAAACCAGGTAAATGTTTAGGGCCATGACAAAAAGTTTGGGAAAAGGGGCCTTGATGACCACTGATATCGGTACAATTTGCAATGACAGCTTGAAACCACCTAAAACCTCCTATAAGGCACTAGGTAGTGCTGCTGCCACTAAAAACCTGAATGAGGTCCCTTGTAGGTATCGTATCTACTGTATCACATTAAGTGCATTTATTACTATTCAGCCTCCCATACTGAGAGACAAACTCAGAAGTATGGGGATGGCCTCCTCCTTGACTTCCTGGATCACGGACTATTTAACAGCAAGGCCGCAGTTCGTCAGCCTGAGGAATTGTGTTTCTGGGACACTGGCGTGCAGCACGAGGGCCCCACTGGGGACAGCTGTGGCTCTGTCCCTGTTCACACTGTGCACATCCAACTTTAAGAGTCCTGCCACATTTGGAAGTATTGAGGTGATACAGCTGTTGTGGCATGTGTGTGAAGTGGACAGGAGGGGGAGTATAGGGACCTGCTGGAGGCCCTCGACTGGAGCAATAAGAACCGCCTCCTCCTGAACACCACCAAGACTGAGGAGATGGTGGTGGACTACAGAGGATCAAAGCCACCCTGCCAGCCAGTCTGCATAGGGGAGGAGGTCATTAAGGTTGTGCATACCTATAAATACTTGGGTGTGCTCCTAGACAGCAAGCTGGACTGCTCTGCAAATACAAATGCTCTGTACAAGAAAGAGCACTCATGAGATGCAAATCTTTTGATGTTTGCAAGTTTGCTGTTCATGTTTCATCACACTGTGGTGGCGAGTGCCCTGTTTTATGCTGCAGTCTGTTAGGGAAGCAGCATGACCGACAAAAACAGCAGACATCCGGACAGGGTGGTTAAACAGGCCAGCTCAGTGCTAGGCAGGAGACTGGACTCACTGGGGACTGTGGTGAAAGGGCGCACATAGAATAAGCTGCAAGCCGTAATGGACAATGTCAATCACCCTCTCCACAACATCCTGGCAGGACAGTGGAGCAGCTGCAGTGAGCGATTCGAGAGGTTCAGGAGATCCTTTGTCCCTACAGCCATTAGGCTTTTTAACACCTAAATACCTGAAGTACAACTGTGTTTAACACCAACATACCGAAATACCAGAAGGAGAGAAAATATTTTTTTTTAAAAAGAATATATGCAGTTTTAATATTACTATTGAAAAGCTGTTGTTTCCTGATTATCAATATTGATGACTTCTAAAATAAAAAACTTTTATAAAAACTGCAGGATTCTTGTTTTTCTCAATTAGAGCATTCCTCATTATCCTCCTCCTCTGAACATACTGTGCAGCTTCTGACTAAACTTGACGTGTTGAACACTGGCATCTGCTGGAAGATTGAATACTGACACCTCTGTGTCTGTGCACAGTATGTCTCTGTGTGTGTGTGTGTGTGTGTGTGTGTGTGTGTGTGTGTGTGTGTGTGTGTGTGTGTGAGAGAGAGTGAGTGTCATCTGTTTCAGATGCAGTGGGGGATGTGATGAGCAGTGGCAGGGTTAAAGAGGGTTGGAAACAGACTGAAATCTGTTATCATCCCTTAATCTCCTTTCTCCTTATCTGCCAGTCTCTCTCTTTTGCATTCCCCCTTTAACTGACAACATCACCATTATTTTCTAATTGTTTTCTTATCAAAGGCATTAAATGCAAATTTTATATCAATAATATGTCCTGGGAATAATTTCATGCCAGCAGGATTTTAGCAGAGTTAAAAGAAAACTTTTCATATCTCATCTTGTTCATTTGCTATCATCTTAGTGCATCTCAACTACTGTGGCTGCTTGTTTCTGATGTAATACATTCATATGAATCTGCAGATCAAATCTGCATCTCAATTAATCCCCCACCCCCACCCCTACTAGCAGCATGTCTCTGCGTCTGTCTGCGTAAGCATTGCTGTGACATAACACTGGGGCTGGAGTTTGCCTGCTCAGTATTGTGAAGAGATCCTGGTGCCTACCTTAAAATCACTAGAATGAATATTCATACTTTTTGAAAAGAGTCTGATGTAAAAAAAAATGCAATCTATGTATGAAATAAGAGTGAATGCTCATCTACGGTAAAAACTGAGTATTCACTGTGCCAAACTGTTTAAATAAAGCAATTTATAAAGATTTATTAACTTACCAGGTACAAAATACAGATAAATTACACATTATCATGGTGCTGCAGTCTCCGCAACGCTCAGAGTCAAGTAAGACCTGTTTGTAAGAATAAGTAAAACCCAGTAAAGAGCAATCATCCATGACACATTGCCTCCTCACTGTTGAAAAATGTAGACCGTCAAACCATGAGCAAAGCCTTTGCAAGTTCTTGAGGTATTGGAGGTTGACGTGACCCCATTTCTTCAGCTGAATGGAGCCACCATGCAAGGATCCTTTAAGCCAACCAGATCAAATGTCCAGAGCTGGTTGGACTCAGCAAAAACTGCTGAAATTAGGCTACAAGTATGCCTGAGTAGAGTCTGTCATACGGGTACTAGGTCCTTCTTAAAAGGGAATGCAACCCATGTCAAGCCATCTCCAAGCGGGGCGTGTCCAGAGGGGAGGAGAACACGCGTCACCCAGTGGCTACAGACAAAAGATGAGGTAAAACAGGTTACAAGAAGTACAGGGCAGCATTGGTCATATATAATGTGCAGGTACCTGAACAGAAAATCATTACAGACACACCTTCTCTTTTCCACACCAAAGAAGACTTTCCAGTTATTCAGCCTGCCATAGTTGAATGGGTTTCTGTAAACCTGACAGAGAAGTTAAAGGAAAACAAAGGGGCAATTAAAAACCTATTAAACCTCCCTTAAAGGGACAGTTCACCCTCAATTAAATATTCACATCTCTCCTCTTATCAGTCTAGACTGCTTTAGTGTAAGCTGCAGAATGTTGGAGACACTGTTTTTTGATTTGGGGTTTCCCTTGACTTAACACAGTCTGAATTATTTTAGCTTTTGATATATTGAACAAGCTTACCCGTCCTCGTCTTGCCAGTCGCTTTGTCTCTTTGCTGTTGATGTGTTTTTCGATGCTGGTCTCCCCTCTGGATATGAGCATTGCATGCCAAAAGGTCAGGGCTCCCAGGGCCAATCCCACAGTGCTAAGAGACCAAAAGACATTATATTTGATCTGCTGCCGCATTAAGAATGCGTAATATGCAGTGCACCATGTTTGGAGTTGGCCTGATAGAAATCACTGTACTGTATTATTTTGTAAGTCATGACGCGTCTGCCAATAAGAGCTGACAAAGAGGGACTAAAATGGTTTTCCAAACATTTCATACATTTGTATCCCTCTAGCTGTTACACCTCTGCAGCTCCTACATTTCCTTTGTACACTGCATTGTGGAACAACTGTGTCCATCAGCAGCACCCTGAGACTTTTTTGCATATTTAGTATCCATACTAATAAGTTTGAGTATCCTTAATTGTGCCATTTTTCCAATGTGAAACCACTTCATACACATAACCTGCTTTGAATAATGGATTTGTGTAGCAGCAGGTGGCATGGTGCTATGTATAGCAAGGTGCAAGATGAAACGTGTATTTTACCTGGTGAGCACCCACATGTAGATGATGCTCTTATGAATCATCTTATCCTTGAAGGTGTACGGAGGTGCAGCTGTCTGATAGGTGGTCTTGACATAAATGAAAAGAGCACATGTTACATAACAGATAATAAAAAACACTTAAGCTTAATCATCTTAGTGTCTGTGTACATTTGTACCTGCCCAGGGGGGAGAAGCCCTATGAGAAGTCCCATCCCTGTTACTGGCACCCCTGGCTTTTCCGCATCCATATGCTTAAAGCGCTAATGGAAGAGCCCACACACAGAAACCCGAGTGTTAAAGACAGAAACAAGGCAGTGTCAGTGAGGAACAGTTAAGCCCCGCAGAGAAAGACGCCAAACATGGATAAAAAGTAACAGATAAAACCCAACAATCCCTCCAAGCACAGAACTGCAAATAGGCCCACAGACCAAGCAATCCGAGCATCTTACCTCAATAGCATTGTACGCATCTAGGAACATGTTTCTGCCACTGATGCTACAGTAGACACAGCCCATGGCCATGAAGAGGCAGAAGGAGAAGAAGTACCGGTGGTTGAAATGGCCCACACAGTTATTTAGCCAAGCTGAGATGCCGACGTTAAGGAAAACCACCATCTCCTCAGAGTCACATCAAAATACAATATTTGAAACAATATTTGCACAAAGGATACGACAATGATGGTCCATTTTCAGAATGCACCTGCAAAAAGAAAAAGAAAATATGAATTCTGACACCTAACAGACAACTCTGCAGGTTTTTTCTTGCTTAACATTAAGTTATGGCACCCAAAAGTCTGCCACCAAAAGAGTTGTTGCTAACCAGGTCTGTCCCCTGTAAATCCAATAAATTCCACTAAGCAGTCGAAAGGATATTGGTCGATAAAGACATTTCAGTCGGTTAAAGCTGGGGTAGAAAGTTTAATTTTGGCCTCATTGAACAAAAATCCCATAATACTCTTTGAGCACATTGTAATTAAAGTGGCCTGAGAGAACGCTCGATTTCTGCACCTTCTCTCTGTTTTGAGGCTTTAGAAAATCTAGGCCACGATTGGACACTTGAGGCAATCACAGGTCATCTTCCAAGAGAATGCATTTCTACTGGCTGTTCTGCAAATGCAGATGTGCATGCACGCCCCTTCTGTGAAAGCCTGGTAATGGTACAAAGTCTTGCATAGAAAGTTGCTATTCCAGCATTGGTAACAACTGCCTACACTGCAAAGCAACCCAAAAAAGGAAGGCGGATTTTAAAAAAGAGAGTCCAACAACAAACAAATTAAAATGTGTCAATATCAGTGAAGTGTTTCAGAGGTGGACAGAAAATGCTGCTGACAGATTCTGGCTGAATTTGAGTCGCTACAGCTGCCGACGAAAGGTCCGTCTCTTGAGCTGCTGCTCACTGTCCACATGGGGAAGACGCCCACAGCAGCAGGGAGAAAGGGGCAATGGGGGGCTGCACAAATGAGCTATGTGCAGCTCTATAAAATGTATAGAAAACACTGGGATCCTGTAGGAAGCATGTGCATATGCATGTAGTTGTCTGGTGGAAGAGGTTTAGGACAGAGAGGGGAGAGCTGCAGGAGGATGGTGTGTTTTCTGATTCTTCCATTTGTTTTTGTTTTTTTCTTTCCAGATTTCTGCCTACCCCAGCTTTCTATGGAGACTGCAAAATTACATGTTAGGACAATACCAGAACCAGAGAAAAATGACACTGACTCACCTGTTACAGATGCCACAGTGGTGTGTTCTTGCTGGTTTGGGCATGATGCACTTTTTGCAGAATGACACAAAAGGACTGTCATTTTTTTCCTGAATGAAAGAACACATTTACGTTGCATTACCAGGTATAACTTTAATTCAAACCCAGATTACTAAAGTTTTGTGGTTCTGCAGTAAAGTGTAGTTGGTATCTTACTGTAGGGGGGTACCCAGGGGAAGTCATGGTGGCCTTGTAGTAATGGAAAACAATCATAACGAGGTTCCAGTGGCCATAACAAAGGTGCCACGCAATCCATCCAGGGGAGTATGTGCTGAGGGCCATAGGCAGTAGGACCAGATAGGCTACCAACAAGACGGAGCTTGTCAGTATCACCACCAAAGTGACAAACACCTGTGAGGCAAAGATAAGGGACACATGTAGAGAACTTTCCTCAGAGGAAAACTTTTAAACTCTCTGTAACCAAAAAGCCCACAGACAAACCCACGCACTCACCGAGCCAAACCAGCGTGTGATATAATCCACAGTCCAAAACACTGGTTCAAAGACTGAGTCGAAAACCACATCTGAGTCTGTGAGGGAGTTAAAGTAAAGTGAGTTCACCAGCAGTTTCATGTAAGCCCATAATTCCCTTATCCAAAAGGGCAGTGTGATCCTTCCTCTCCTGGTGCATGACCGCAACCGCACAAACCGCAGCAGGTGGAGCACTGAGCTGGGACAATACCGCATCCTGCATCTGTGATGTGCACACACCTAAAAGAAAATAAAGAAACGACAACACACAAAAACAAAAATTAACCAAATGTACCTGTTTTTTTAAAGATATTTGTGGTGGCTTTTTATGCCTTTATTTGAAAGGACAGATATAGCATGAAAAGGGGAGAGAGAGTGAGGATGACATGCAGCAAAGGGCAGTGGGTTGGAATCAAAACTGCAGCTGCTGCAGCCTTTGTACATGGGGCGCCCACTCTATCAGGTGAGCTAGTGGGCAATCCCTGACTATTTTTTTATAAACACTAATGGCATGTATAACTCATATTTATAGATCCTAATTATTTTCATTATCACACAATCTGCTTTATATTTTCTAAGTTAATAAATGAATTTCTTGGTCTGTAAATTGTAGAAAAATAGTGATGTCCATTGCAATTTCCTTAAGCACAGGCAACCACCTGATTTGTTTGACAAACAATCCAAAAACAAGATATTAAAGTTACTATCCCCTAAGACACAAAAATTAGAATCAGAATCAGAAACACTTTCTTGTTCCTCAAAATTGGATCACATCAATGTTGCTGGTATATATATAGGCATAAAGAAAATATAACAAAATAGAAAAATAATAACTAAGCCAAATTGCTTGCAGACAGTAAGCTGTAAGCAGACAATGTTTGGCATTTAAGCTTGAAAAACGACAAAAACAATGAATCGATTACCTGAGTAGCCACCAATTAATTGTCTGTCAATTGACTACTGGTTTCCACTCTTTTCCAGTGCATCATATCAAACTTACCTAAGGCTGAATTTGGGAGCCAGTCAACTTGGATTTCTTTTGTTGTTGTTGAGTTATTTTTATATCAGACATCCGTCTGTGCCAAGTGATACTTCAACTTTATCCAGCTATCATTTAACAGTGCAGCTAGATCAATAGCCCAGACCATTTACTTGAATAAAACATAGATATACAAGCAACCAAACAATTAGTTGACAGTTGAACAATCGAGCTATCAGGTAAATGTGCTAAAGCCTAGTTGCTTTGCTGCATTCCAGACAGGGTGGAGTCTGGGTGGAGGTTTTGCAGTCATCTCAGGTGTAAGGGGTGCAGTGGTCTGAAGTGGAGCTGAGTTTGTCAGCAGCAGTAGCATTCAGCTTCACACCATCAGACAATGTAAGGCTATTTTTCAAACACCATTACAAGACAATAAGCCAAACTACGGCCTCGTGAAAGCCTGAACATTTAATGTGTCCATAATGTTCACTCCTGTAAACAGTCCTACAGAGTCCTGCTCCCAAATCCCTTTTGTATGGATGTCAGTGTACAGTGTTTTCCCGACGCTGTGCGCTGCGCTGTAGTATTTAATAACATTTTAAAAATATTTTAGGGTAATACTCACTGTTCTATGAAGGCAGGGAACCTGTCGAAACCAGCCCTGCTGTCGACATTTTTAAAAGGAAAGCAAAAACGGGATTAATGCCACATATCAGCGAAGAAGGGCAGGATCAGGGACCTCCTGTGACAGTTAACAGATCTGAATCCTGATCCCGAGTTAGTGCACTTGCGCAGACACCGCGGCGAAATGCATTTTGGTAGTTTGAGTCAGGAATTAAAGACGTCGTTTCAAGAAAGGATGGTTTCTCAAAAAAATGCATTCATGCGCATACATTTCGCATGTTATATGTCTCTAAACCTAATTACACTTGACTAGAAAAGGTTACTCTATTCCATTAATAAAAAAAATTAACAAGTTAGGGCTCGGTTACAGCGGTTCTCAGCATTCTGGGACTTGTAGTTCTTACACGGAGCGGCTCTGCTAAGTGACGCCACTGCACGGCAGACTGCTCGCCATGTGGATCCTGCAGTAACCGGTGGTACCAACTCTCCAACCTCAAGCTAGCTGTGTGCAGCGCTGTCAGTCATCATGTCATTTAGTTTTAACTTCGATGTTCCAGCACTAACAACAAAGCCAGACGACGTGGATGGAAATGAACTGCAAAACGGAAAGAAAGGCAATGCTGCTAAATCTGTGAGTAACGTTAACGTTAGCTCACTAATAGTGTGTGTTAGGTTAAGTTACTCAAACTGCTCAAAGCTGTCAAATGAATGTAAGATAGTTAGTTTAGACTAGAGACGTATGCCAGTCCACCTGGTGGCATGGGTAAGGTCGTTATTTAAAGAAAGGAACATAATGTGCATGCAGTGGCGTGTATGGTTTTATGAGGGCTTGGGGCAGTGAAGGAAGAAGAGGACCCTCACTGGGCTTAGACCTTTTATTATGTAAACTTTATCGAACAATTTAGAATTACAACAATAAGGCAAGACCATCATATTATTGAGTAAATGGGCTTGAAACTGAGTAGGAAAAAAAAGAGAGAAAATTATAAATTATAATAAAGATACAAATTATAAATAATACAACAGAAATAATACAAAACCAAGTTAACTGGTCTTCATTTGAAAGTGAAAGGTATTATTTTAAGTGCCCGTTAATTTGTAAATTCCGACAGAGCTGAGCAGTTCCTTTGCTTATTTAGATTTCATGCACTTTAGGGAGTAACTGCAACAAAAATTCAGTGTAGAGGGCTTTAAAGATGGGTGGTGTTTTCATAAAGTCTGCTTTGTGCGTGCTATATTTAGCCATAATGATAGGCGTAAACCTTATTATTATTAGTGCCTAACATCAGCATTGCATTAACATTTATAGATCATAGGAGAACAAGTAAGTCTTGGACAGTATAGAGCAAAGAAAGCAAAACACTAACTTATTACTTGTGAAAGTAAAAGTGAAAATTCATTTGAAAAAAAAAAGAAGAATGATTTAAGGTCCACTTACTACCACATCATGGTCTTCACCCCTTATGCACCCCTTATGAATTTATACATCAATAGGCATGAATTCAAGGGGTCAATATCCTAATTTCTGAAACAGATTTAATTTTTAAAAAAAAGTAGTAAAATGGGGCCTCCTTAGTGTAGTGGTTGGAGCACTCATCTTCCATTCAGAAGGTCCAGAGCTCGAATCCCACTGGGGTCGACCTCAGCAAAGACATGCAGTCGCAAGAGGTTCTCACCGCCGAATTAAACAGGATCAGATTCCTTCAGGAGGATTCAGGATAAGAGACTAACTCCAGAATCTGAGCCAAGTCCTTAGCGCGGATGCATCTCAAGCTCAATGCAGACGGGAGGTTCCAGACGTTAAAATGGATTCAATAAAAAAAAAAGTAATAAAAAATAAACTGAGATGACTAAAGATAAACAATTCTCGAACAATTATACAGTTTTTCAATATACATTAATAATTGATGTGGTATTTATTTATAATAATGACAGATAATTTATCTTTACAGACATTTCCTTTTACAGAGGAGAGTTGAGACTAAATCAGAGGACTGAAGAGTATTGATTTTAAGATTTATCCAACTATGATTATACAACAAGTAGTTCCGACCAAGCAATCTATTTGGTCAACAAGAAATTTAGAATGTGCTCAAATAAGCATAACTGCATACCTGGCTCATCATTAAAAATATTAAATGGCAACATTGTAACTGCCAGAGCAAAACCAAAAGGCTACCAAATGGATGGATTTGTTTAAAAAAAGATGAGGCTGCTGCTGCTGTTGCTTTGGTTCATACTAAACACACACATGATCTATATGAATTCATAAATATGGCCTAAAATCTAAAGAAAAACTCTTCACAATCCTGAAAATATTAGATAGCCTAATATACAAATATAATTATACAACAAGTAGTTCTGACCAAGCAATCTGATTGGTTGACAAGACATTTAAAATGTGCTCAAATCAGCATAACAGCACACCTGGCTCATCACTAAAAATATTACTCCGCCATATCCATGGCAACGCTGTTACTGTTAATAGTTTTATAATCGCAATATTACGCTCGAGGGTGTGCTTAGACATCATTTGTGGCAAAACAGTGATGCGGTCAGGACCGAGGCGCTTGCACCGAGGTCCTGACCGCATCACTGAAGTGCCACAAATGACGTTTGAGCACACCCTCGAGCGTAATATTGCTTAAATATAGACCTGTCTCCTGTTATAGTAGTAGGAAAATATGCTGTTGAATGGACCAGAAATCGTCAGGGGTACACACACATACACACACACACAAGAGCTATGCATGAAGCAAGTTCTACTGTATGATTTCATCACAGTTACCAATGAAAATTGAAATGTAAGGTAGGTGTGCTTCCTCTAGAGAGCGTAGGTTGACAATCTCCTTGCCCATGAGCCATGATGTCACAGGGCAGAGGCATGTCAATAAAAAGTCATCACAGAAACCATACAAGGTCATTCTGATAGCTGACTGTGTGAGTCGACATTGCAATGTCTGACGTCAAAGTTCAGAGGCATGTAAGAAAAAAAAAAAAAATCAGGAATTTTTATTTAAATTGTGAAAGTGTGACTACATGAGCAGTTTGACGACTAAGCCACACATGATATCTGGAGTTTTGCTGTACTTGCAACAGTGTTTCGGTCACACAGTAAATCACATGGCTGATTTGTAACAGTCTCATGTCTTAGATTCATCAGCCAGTCATCCAGTCCTTTTCTAATAGATCATATTTTACAGCGTAAAGAGCATTTTGTAACTAATAAATACACGTACAAACAAACAAAATAAGGTAGATAGTCTATAGCATAATTGTAAACCAGTTAACATCCAGTCAAAGACAGCACTGTTATGCATTCGTAGAGATTCAAGTTGTTACATGTTCATAGGATCCCAGACTGAACAACAGATCATCTGCTTCATTTGATGTCACAAAATTAATCTCATAAGCAGATCTCACGTGAGCCATGTCAGCTGAAACTTGGAGTTTGGACCCAAGGTCAGTGTAGTCTAGTTTTGTGAATGTTTCAACCTCACGTCAGTGATATCGGAATTAAAAGTAACTCAATAAAGTACCAAAGTGAGTGACAGTGATATTGAAATTGTTTTTAATAAAACATGAACAGTGTTTCTGTCCAAAACACTGACAGCCCACAGCACAGCATACTTATGACCTCCACAATTTGTAGGAAATTCCTCTGAACACCCAAAAGCACCATGATTATTTATATCTGAACATTCCTGTGCTGTGAGTAGTTGCCTCCGGCGTCATATCCTAGGCATATTTTCTGATTTATATATCTGTACTTCCAAACGTTTTTCAAGCCAGGATATTTTCAGCTTGAAGCACATGTTTTCTATGAATTGTAGTCATATATTCACACAGACCTGTCACACACACAATCATTCACACTGTTTTGTGTTTTTCAGGTGAAGGAAGATACCAAACCAGCAGAGCCAGCAAAAGAAGCCAAAGAGCACGTTCAGCCATCTGACCCACACTTCCTCCTCAGGGATGCTGTCACTGAAACAGTTACCATAGGAGCTCTTCCCCCTCTTCACTTCCTCAACGAGACGGTTTTCGAAAAGACAGCCTCCGAGAGAGATGACGGTGAGGAAATTCTCTCGCGCACCGCTGAGCAGAGGTCTGATCTCATCTCTGGCATGTACGAGGGGGGGCTGAAAGTGTGGGAGTGCACTTACGACCTTCTGGAGCTGATTGAGAAAGACGGAGAGACCTTTGGGGGGAAGGCGGTCTTGGATTTGGGCTGTGGCGCGGGGCTGTTGGGAATACTGGCTCTGCAGAGAGGAGCCAGGGAGGTCCACTTCCAAGATTATAACAGTACAGTTATTGAACAGCTCACAGTGCCAAATGTAATGCTTAACTGCCAAGAGGATGATGAAGTGGACAGTGAAGATGACAAAGAAAGGAAGGGAAAGGGGAAAATCCAGGAGGAAGGTGGTTGTAAGAAGGTGAAAGCGAAACAGGAGGTAAAAGATGGCGACCCACCCCCTAAGATAAGAGCCGTTGACCTATCCCAGCACCCATTACTAGCCAAGTGTCGATTTTTCTCCGGTGACTGGAGCACGTTTCTTGCTCTGCTTCAAAAGGAGAACCCACATCCCAAATATGACATTATATTCACCTCAGAGACAATATACAACACTGCTTACTACCCAGTGCTACATGAGACCCTCCACAGACTGCTCGCTCCAGATGGACTCGTCTACCTCGCCACCAAGTCCCACTACTTTGGTGTAGGTGGTGGGCTGCACCTGTTTGAGACGTTTGTGGAGCAGAGGGGTGTTTTCTCTTTGGATCACCGGTGGGACGGGGAAGAAGGACTTCAGAGACATGTAGTAGTCCTACATTTTAAAACTGCAAAAGCAACTTGAACAATAAAAAAAAAATGTCTGTTTCCACTTTGAGGAGGAATCACTGCACAGTTTAATCCTAATTCATATCAGGACTTCATTTTTATTTGAAGCTTGTTCGTGATATGTAACAGCAACCATGGTGAAACAAAGAAAAACTGTAATAAAATATGCTGTCTTATCTCCTGTTTGGTCTTTGGTCACCTATACCTTCTCTCACTTCCTATATAGACATTTGAATATGTCTGCTGGTAAGTGAAGTGCAGTTGAAAGGGGCTGTTACAGGTCTTTAGACGCATGGGGAGGAAAGAAAGGAAATGGGCTCAGTGACCTTTGCAAGTGATTTCCCCAGTGTTCAAACAGCAGCATGAAAGCCAGGCTTGTTTCTGAAGTCCGGCGCAAAATGTCAATTGCAACTTATCCCACCAGCCCAAGGATGTAGTTTGAAAGTGGATTCTAGAGTCACTGCACATCAACGGTGGGACTCTATGGGGTCTCTGTACCTCCTATTCAAGTAATGGCTCCTCTTGATTCTGTCAGGGGTTTTACCTCCAGTTAATGTCACTGCGTAATCTGGGTGTGCTCCATTGCAAAACAAAGACGTGACACACAATGAGTGTATACATCCAAGAAGTGTGTGCAATTACACGTCCGAGTACAGGAAGGGAACTTTGCTGAAATTTTTCCCTAAACCGTTGGATTCCCCTTTTCGTCCAGATCAAGGAAGTCAGTTGAATTAATCTGACAGGGCTTTTTCTCTGAGGAAGTTTGCTTGAAATCAAGACTAGTTTCTCGTATTTGAGGTGACTAGGTAAAGAGGATGAGGAAATCTGAGGATTTTTACAAGGTCACCAAACAACGAAACTCTTTTACTGTCAGCTAGCGTGTTCAATAGCTGTGGTTTTTTTACCCTGCTGACCCAGTCCTATCATCTTCAGCTGATTGAACACAATCAGTATCACATCCCTTTCGTGTTTGACTATGAGCGGAGAGCAAACAGAGTTATTTTAGGTAGGCTGTGTTATTGAATACACCCCTATCAGACCTCACCAGAATAAATCGACTCCAGCTACACAAATATTCACATGAATCAATCTCATCATAAACATGCCCATGACGCAAGTGGCACACACTGCCCTTCTGATGAATAATATTTAGCAAAGATAAAAGACTTTTATAGGAAACATAGTGTCACCAGCTCAAACATGACTGAGCATTTTGACACCCACAGTGTGTGGATAGAATTTCCACTTACTTACAGTAAATATACTGTAGGGTTAAACACTATTTCACTCTTACGCAGATAGAGAAACACCAAACACGGTTTCTGTTTGCATATGCCCAGCCAGCAAGCTTCCAGTGTGTCGGCTTCGTCATCATCTCTCATCTCGACAGCTGTTCACGGCCTGTGGGGGAATTCCTGGTTCCTCGAGAAGACACAGCCTTTCCCCTGCTTACTTTATGGGAACAGGGGGCAGGGCCAGTCAGATGGTTTTCCTCAGAAACTATTATGTGTTGATTCACTGTGAGGGGGCGTGCTGCTCACCACTCCCACTGTTTCCTTCTTACTGGGAAGTGACTGTCAGGCTTACCGAACGGAGGGAGCGTATAAAAAACAGATAGAGAGGAGGGAGGGAGGCTGATGGGTGATGTGAAAGGTGGTGGTATTTAAGGTCCTTTGCTGTGAATGTCAGACAGTATGCTGTATCCTTCCTTGGGACTTGGAGGACATGGGAGAGTGAGCAGAACATGCAGGTGAACTGGGGAGGGATGGCTTACTGTATGTTCATTAAGCTGGGAGAGACGTGCTGCTGATTCAACACTCAAACATCTTTTTGTTGAGATGGGACTGCCAAAGAGTGTTTAAGGCTTGGAGCTCAGTCCTAGGAGTCCTTTATGAGGAGACGTATTTCCGATACATTCAAGATCTGGAGAGAAAGCTTTCAGTGAATGACTGGGGTAAGTATATAGTAGGAAACTAACTCAAATTATAGTCAATTAAAAAAATATTTGACACTGTATTTAAACTTGTAAAAAGTGCCTGTTTTAAAGTACAGGCTACGAACTTTCAACATGTTTTAAATTGTGAAATATTCAAATGAGGTAGAAATGAGTACTTACCAAGAAAAAACAACTTCCACATTCTCTGAGCACAGATGAAGGGTGTTAATGTGCCAGATAGTTATATGAGAGCTGTTTAAATGAGTGCAGGCAGTAAGACTGAGTTCATGCCCTCATTCTTTTCTAGCAACAGGCCGTAGAACCGGTTGTTTCCCAGTCCAACTGCCGGAAAGATAGGAGTTTCCTGAACGTGTTCAGGTGTGGCCTTCCTCAGAAAGTTCATTGTACTGTATTGCATGCATCCTAAAAGAACGTACACTCATACTGAATAAACTACTGTGACTGAGATAACATTTAGGAATTGTCTCGCCGCAGTGTCACTGTCAATATGGCCTTGAATGAGGTGAAGTTTTTTTTTGTTTTTTTTTTAAAGAGATACTGTAAAAGAACTCAGGTTGGTTAATTTCAAACTTACTTTGGAGGGTTCAAAGATACATTGACCAATTGGATGCCAGTAATCACATTGTCCCAAAGTTCTTTTCCTGGGAGTGTACGGCCATAAATGATGAGTCATTTCATGCCTCGACCAGAGCACTATCACCATGATCTGATTCACTGCTTGCATCAGCTCACTGGACAGACTTTTATTTCAGTGGTTGAGAAGCATTTCCAGGAATACTTAGGTTGAGAAGGTTTCCTCAGACGACCCGAAACTCTCCATAGGCTCAGTCTAACCACAGCACTGGGTCCATTCAATCATAACGACATTTGGGAGGTTTGTTTTCCACTTTGGTTTCATTTCACTTTCATAGAATGCCTCTCAATCTCATGCCAATTTATGAAGAAGTCAGTGTTTTAAATTACATACTGCACTACTGTGTGATGTAAATGCCAACTATGATTGGTCACTGTTTAATATCACCTTATACAGTAACAGCCTCTTGCTCAATCTTCTTATGAAAGAAGCAGGGCTGACGTTATCGTCTCATCACCCTGCATTTCTTGAGAAAAAGGGAAGGTCATGGGTGAGTCAGTCTCATAACCTACTGGCTATCATCTGACGACAAGATCTGCATACAGCTCAACATGCTGCTCAGCATCTGGTATAATGTACATCGTTCTTAAGCTGTATTATTGATCACAAATTGGCTTTATTGTGGTTTTATTTCATCAAGACATGGGCCATAAACTAAGTTGAAAAGAGCATTAATAATGAAGCATGAGTTGTGTCAAATGATAAGCCATTCGAGGACACCCGAGGACCAACGTTTGATAAGTGCTTTACTATGAGAACTGAATTCCATAGATGGTGGCGTGTTCAGGTGTCATCTATGGGCTCAGTTCTTTTGGCATGGTACTTGTTTGTCAGCCTTACTGCACCACACCACAGAGCGGAAATCATGACCATCAGAAGAAAGCACAAACACTTGTGTGGTTTACACTCATTCCAGCATGTCTTGTTTTTACGACGTGTTACTTTCATTTGTATTTTGCGTTTATTGTTTTTCTTCAAATGACGAATGAGGAATTCATTTCAAATTGCATGTAATAGTACTGTGAATAAAATAAACCCATTTGTAAATGACTGATAAATATGTATGAATCATGTTGTTAATAAAATAAATCAAAGTTAATTATTTTCCTCTGTAACTTATTGACTCTAATAACTTTTTTTAAATCCTACATCATTTAAGCATTACAGTACAAGGAGTGAGAGCACTTAAGGACAATATATCCAGAATCCAAGGGCTACCACGCCCTATACAACCCACACACGTGGACGTCTTTTTATTCAGATGTTATCTCAGCCCTAGCTCTATAAAAATCTGCAGCCATGGTGATGGCAGTTAGTTAGATTAGTTATAAACAATATGATTAGATACAACAGCCAACATCCTTTTCAGTTACATGATCATGGGCTGCTACTGTTGAGGTATAAGTTGCTTTGACGACCTGAAGTACAATAGTACTGGTTGAAAGCAGTTATTTTTGAGGTATCTGTAGTGTTTTAAAGTTATCCCTTGATATGCCATGCCATATAAACTCTATATTTGCACACATATCTCCCACATGGATTGAACATCATTATAGGTTTAAGGTCCATAGCAGTGGTTTCATTCTTAATACTCCTGGTTCCTGACTTCCTGGCTCCAGGCTGTCTATACTGTGTGGTGGTGATAGGCAGAAAAAGTTGGCTGGCTGCTGTTGCATCACTGCATGTGTAGTGTGAAGAAACCTGTTGAGTAATAAAACACTGTGGTTCATTACCGGTGCACTATGCTTGCATTCACTACTATGAAAGAGAGACACAGTGCCATGAGTAACAGGGGAAACTAATTTTAAAAAGTACCTCACCTTAGCATGTTGGTTTTTTTCCATTATAAGTGTCTGCTAATTCATATTGTCATTTTTCTGAAATAAATCCTTTTCATCTTACAAGTTGGCACTCCTTCCTTGTTATTATTAATTTGGGATGTAATAAGGCCCCCTGCCATGTGGCCCAAATATAGACAGGAGCCTATTATATGCACTCTCATGCCAACATCCCAGATATCCTATTTTATTTCTATTTATTTACTTGTTTATTTGACAAGGACAAATGCGTTAGACATTGCTTCATATGAAAAATACAAAGTAGATGCAATACCTACAGGTTTCTAGCCATGGCTAATTTGCAACCCCTGTCCCTGGTTATATTTTTATAATTAAAACGGAATATGGAGTTATATAATACAATAGGTATATCAATATCCTCCATAAATTGTAGAAAATGACTTCAAATGTATGTAATCTTTTCCAGAGGTAGGCCTATAGTTATGAATAATTCTTTAATTCAGTTAATGAACTTTGGTTTACTGGTCTTTTTCCAGGAGAGTGAGATAACTCTTTTTGCAAGCAGTAGTCCATTTTTACTTGTAATTACTACTTTAAATACTTAATTTTTGCTGATAATATAAATGAACTTTTACTCAAGTATTTTTTAAATGCAGGGTTAAAGTATATATATATATGTATAGAGAGAGTATATCTACATTTTTGTATTGCTATTTTTACTAAAATAAAGAATATAATTACGCCATAGTTTTTGAAGCCTCGACCTAAAATTACATCGGCCTACTG